TATTAAATAATATATGAAGGATCTCCTCCTAAAAGATCCTGTCATATGTTTTTTTTTTTCAAGTAAATCCTCACAGCTTCAGGATCTCTTCCTAAAAGATTCTGTCATGTTTTTTTTTCAGGTAAATCCTCACAGCTTCACTCCCATTCACTGAAAGAACTTTACGAGCAGGCTCGCAGGGACCAAAGGATGGTGGCTCTGCCCACTCATCGTCTGTTGCCGCGGTAATGCCGCATGCTGCACCACATTTCCATTTTCATCGTGGGTTTTGTACATCCTTAACTCACCCAAGGAAATGTGTTCCGTGTCGTTAGGAGATGTGCAGTGACGTGTAAAATTGCTGACACCAAAGGATGCAGGACGTGTTCCGTCGGTATTCGCAAACACGATAATTACCACAAATATTATGGGTTCCTTTCTTCACCTTCTACGCCTCCTAACAACCTCTGTGCCTTTGCTTCTCCTGACTAGATTTCCCTGCCTCCTCCTCTCCTCACAACTCCTTTCCCAAATCTCCTCTTCTAACTAGAGTACATCTCTGCCTTTTCCTACTAAGCCTCCTTGCCTTGTTCATCCAACAGAACCACACCTTCTTCGCCCCCTCATCTCCGAACTAAACCTTCCTCCATTCCTATCCCAACTAAATTGCCTTGCTCATCCACGCCTCATGCCGCATCCTCTCCTAACTTGACCTCCTTGCCTCTTCATCCTTGTCTTCTCCCAAGTACACTTTCGAACCTGCTCCTCTCCTTTCTATACCCTTTGCCCTGACTTCCCGTCCGAACTCCACTTCTCTCTCTTCTCGTCTAACTACCATATCCTATATATCCAAGGCTCATCTGCTCTTCTTCCTTTCCTATCTCCACCCTCAATACATCCAACTGTATCTATTTGCTTCATTCTCTCCAAACTAAACCTTCATCTGTCCCTTTCTTCTTGGGATACCTCCTTTTCCCATCCTCTCGTCACTACACCAACCTACGTCCGCCTCCTCTCCTAACTACAGCTCCTTGCCTCCTCACCTACTACACCTACACTCTTATCCATCCACCTCATTTCTGCCAAATGACACCTTCTGTCTCATCCTCCCTTCCCAACTATACCTACTCCACCATCTCTCCTAACTACACCTCACTGCCCTGTTCTCCCCTTCTGATATTTTTGAGGCGTGTGTTACTTTTTTCAGCGGACAACTTCCTGTGCTGTGCGCTGGAGTCTAGTGTGGTGCTGCTGCAGTGGTACGAGCCAATGAACAAGTTCATGCTGATCAAGGTGGGCAGAGCTACAACAAGGAGAGATGTTTTATTTTTATTTTTTAATAAAGCACTTCACAAACGAGTATGATGTTGTTCTGCCAATGTAGCATTTTGACTTCCCCCTCACCAACGCGCTGCGGGTGTTTGAGACAGTGCTGGACCCCCAGCAGGAGTACCCACTGGTCTGCATTGGTGTCTCTCGGGGGTCCGGTGACACACTGCCTGTTGCTTTGGAGTACATCGACCTCAACTCGAACACTTCCTGGTTCACGTGCACTGACACGGGTGAGCCTGTGTGTGTGTGTGTGTGTGTGTGTGTGTGTGTGTGTGTGTGTGTGTGTGTGTGTGTGTGTGTGTGTGTGAAAGAAAGACAGGGTGTGAGTGTGTAAAATGTGTGGCTATTGCTACTGCTTGCTTGAAGAGCTATAACAAAAAAAATACTTATCAGATCTGGCAACTCCCTGGCACAACTTTCTTCAGGCTTTTGTATAGTCCCGTGACTGGTAGCAGGAGTTATCAACTCCTGGGGGCCTACAAACAGCGACGATTGTTTTTTTACTCCAGGATGTCATGTGCATTCTTGATGGTGATGAGCTGTCACAGACATTTGAGTTGAGTGGATGGCTATCAACCACAAGGTGGGCAGGTATTTTCCATGCCGTTTGCAGTTCATTGGCTTTTGCAAAAATAATTGACAAACTGCATAGATGTCAAACATAAACCATGTCAAAGACTCATTTTGATGATCTTAAGCAGATAACAATGGCGGAGAGGGGGGATTTTGATGGCATGAGACCTTCAAACATTTTCATTAACGAGCGCGGCTACGGTCACATTATGGACAGAACAAGCCACAAGCCACCGTCTGTGCCGCCACATAGAGCAAAGGGAGAGCAACGACAAAGCCTCCTTCCTGTAGTTAAGGTCACCTCCCACCTTTTACTCATTAAAAATAGATGGTATGGTGTTGGTTTTTAATATTGACTGTACACGCATATGTTCATGCCTGTACTGTGCATGTATTGCCTGTGCACAGGGGCTTGATAAAACTTGCATCTATCAAGGAGTCTCGCACACATTTTATAAAGATTCAAACTGTGTGTATATTGTCACAGATCAACGCTACCCAGATACCATGCAAGTCAACCAGTTGGACAGCAACTCGCTGCTGGTCCTATTCGAAGGTAAATTCATGTTTATTTCATCCTCATACTGTGTATTGTTTTTCATTCATGTGTCAGTCATCTTTCACACTGCAGGAGCAGCACACATCGTAAATTTGGAGGGGGCACTAAAGAGCGGCCAGCCTCACAAGACCACCTTCTCACACAATGTGGAATCTGTAGGTGGGTGGTAACATAAAAGAAGGGCGAGTGGTGTGTGAGCATGTTGCATTGTGACTATTGTGGTTCATTGTAAGATTCTTTTCATTTGGCTAAATATGCTGCTCAAAAGATTAGAAAAAGTGGTATATGCAAACTACATTTATCAGCTAATTAAGAAAGGAAAGCTGTCATTGCACCGTTACTAATAGTCAGAAATACTGTCATGGTAATAATCAGATAGCAGCAAATAAAAGGCCACTTTTGTTGAAACCAATTACTCATTCCAATACTTTTTAAATGTGGATGCATAATAATATAATAGCGTTTGGCTGGCAACCAGTTCAGGGTGTACCCCGCCTACTGCCCATTAGACAGCTAGAATCGGCACCAGCACGCCCGCGGCCCTTGTGAGGGGAAGCGGATTATAAAATGGTTGGATGGGTGACTTTTAGTCAAAACCAGGACAGAATGTAAATAACTGAAAAAATACATAAATATGTCAATAAAAAGTCATTGTCTGAAATGTTTGGATCGCTTCACCCACCACTGGTGTATGGTAACAAGTGACTTCTCACACACACACACACACACACACACACACACACACACACACACACACACACACACACACACCCACACACACACACACACACACGCACACATACACACAAACACAGAACGCCCCAAATAAAGCAGAGTCAGCATAAAAAAAAAAAAAAAAAATCACTGAGTTGAGGAATGTTCGGATTGTGGTCCATTTACAGAGGTTACATTAAATTCCGTTTAAAGTTGAATAAAACCTGGATGGAAATACTTTCCTACACCTGCTGATCATATTTCAAAATATTCTTTTAATGGACAAAAAAAAAAAACACACACACACACACACACACACACACACACACACACACACACACACACACACACACAAAACAAAGCTCCCTAACCAACATATGGATATGGATTACATTTTAAATTAAAAGCACTGCTTGAAACTTATCACAGGACATTTTCGTTGCTCATATTGTCCAAATGGTACTAGCTGAACAGGGACTTGAGCCCTGGACCTTGAGATTAAAAGTTTTATGCTCTACCAACTGAAGTACCCAGGGTCTGAGTACAGTAACAAACCATACTAAAGAGATCACAACAACTCAGTCATTTGTTTTTCTCTGCAGTGTATTTGGAGGACACATTTTTAGCGGTGTGGCGTCACGGCTGGTTAAGGACAAAAAAAGGCAAAGTGTTAGAGGAGAACACCGACCCCAAGAAAATGTTCCGGCTGGTACAATCTGACAGGTTTGACATTTTGTTCTTTACATCTGATTCCAAACCAGTGTCATTTAAAACATTTCTGTCCACAACGTAGTTCTGTCGAAAGTCACTTTCAAGAAAAGGCAATGTTACTACAACGATGTCATTCAGTCGGACAACCAATCTGTCATTGGGGTGGCGGGGGTGGTGGTGGTAGGTGCTATAGTTCCACTTCAGTCCTGTTGGTAATTGTGAGTTGCATTTCAAAATGGGTATCAGTTGTCACCAAATTTTTTCCATTTTAACCCTCATAAGTAAATCCATTTTGGCCAATTAGAAACTTGAAGTAAGCTAGTTCATGAAATGATTGGCTGAGCTCTGCCAAGGCCCAACGACCCGAGGAAAATAATATCTGGATGATCCAGATGTTGTCGTTCCACTCCAGTCCTGAATGTGGCAGTATTATAATGTAATAATTAGAGCATACAGTGATTATCTCTCCTTGATGGGAACAATGAATAGCCAAATGGACAACTTATTTTACTTATGCTTCCTGACTTCCTGTAGTGGTGTCCTGTACTTCTAAATATCATACTTGAACATAAACTTAACAAAATGTTGGGCGATAACAGCATACACTGTGACGTCCATGCAGGATGGTTGTCATGGAGACGCACCAGACCAAGGACCCCTCGGGGCTGTCCAACCTGTACTTGCTGGAGATTGCTGAGAAATACGTCATGCTTCCCTGATGGCCCGTGAGCAAAGCACTATGGGATACGTGGCGTTTCCCTGCAGCATTCATAAGATACGGGAGCCTTGCCCTCACTTGGTGAAACTGGTTTCAGTGGGATCCAGTCACTATATTGTCAGTCAGTGGTGCAATGACCTGTGTGGCACTGCCATGTATTAAAGTAACTTAAAGTCTCCACAAAGTGACTTGTCCAGTAATATGTCATTGTTTTATAAATAAATAAATAAATTATAAGATTCAATATTCCAAAAGTTTTATTGTTTTGAAGAGTCAAGTAAAAGCTATAAGAATTTATAAAAGAATAAAACCGTGCAAATATTTGAGCAGTTGTGGTGAGTGGTTTATGTCTATAAAATAGAGAAACAAATAGTACTATTCATGCATTAATGAGGTCAATATTACAGTGCAAATACAAAAAGATATCGAAAGTTAATTGTAATCAACAAAGAGTATTGTTATTTTAGAATATCACTGTGTAAAATGTAGTCCTCCAAATAATTACTTTAGTGTTTAATGAAAAAACTGCTCAGGTACTAACTAAAACTTCTGATTGCTATATTTTTTTAAGAGTGCATGATTATCAAATATAACGTAGGAATACTGTATGCCAATTCAAATATTGCCAACACTATCATTTTAAATGATATATTTTAATTACAAAAGCATAATCTAAAGCTAATTCATTCAGAATATATTTTTAAATTAACAGTCTTTGTTTACACACATACAATAATACAATACATGAAAAAGCACAGCCTCTCATTCTATATACTTATAGTTAGACGTAATTCAACTACAGTATTTTGAACTGTGTCAGTAATGCTGCCATCTGTTTCATTACTTAAAAACAATATTGATTCTGACAACTTGGATTTTATCTTCAGTGCTGTGCATATCCTACAGATTGCTTTTCTCCCTCCTTCTGAAAGAGCACAACTGCAGTTTCTGTTCTGTTCCGATCATCGCGGAACTTCAGCACACGGATTGCCACTGCTTGTGCACGGAACACAACCTGCTGGAGCTGTGGAGTGAAGGAGAGTTTCACTTCTTTCACTACGTCATGCCCCTTAAAGACAGATCAACACACAAAAATACTCCCATAATTTTTGTGTGAGTTACTTTCAGCTTCATTACACTTAATAAAACCATTTTGTTTCTTTACTTTCTCCTCTCCTGCTTTTAAGGCCCGACTGATTAATCTTCTTTTAAAATCGGAAAAAACCAAACAATTGGCAAAAAAATCAGCCGATTTAATGCATTCCAACAGAAGACAAAGATATTTTTAGTGAACGAATTATCAATATAACATATAGTAGTAATAATCAGAAGAATGATTCTGATAATAAGAATCGGAAAAAACAGCTCCATAATTAAAAGATTATTCATGTATATTTTTACTGTAATACATAGAGTCGTTGTAATGTAAAAAATATAAGTAAAATACAATGAGTAGAATAAAGCCAAGGGTGAAAGGACACGGCTGAAAAGAAGAAGAAAAAAAAGAAAACCCGTCGTTGCCTCATGTTGATGACGTCTCAATTTGTATTTACTGGAGGACTGACAGAATTCGTAGTGGTACAGGGAAGGAGAATATACCATCAAAAAAGACACTTTGCAAGTCAGACAGGTACGACAACAAAACTCAATCCATTTGAATGCACAGAAGGTTTATTTCACATATTTCTGGTCAGAATATATGACATTGGTGTCGAAACAGGCATTGACAACTTAGCTTGTTGCTTCCTGTGCTAGCTAACTAGCTAAAATAATAAGCCGTCAGTCAGCTAGCACTGCTTCGTACAACCAAATCACTCAAGCTGCTCGATGTCATCGTTAAAATAGGGCGACCCGTGAACAAACTCATTAAATTCACGTTTCTGCAAAGCCGATGTAGCGAAGTAATGCGTTAGGCTGCCGAGTAGGTAGGCAGTATGAGTATACAAATTGGAATTCCACATTTGATTGTATTAACTCCTTCGTGCATACTTCATGCATCAACACGGGTCCCACAACAGCTAGCCAATCCAGTGGATTTGAACTTATACAATTGTCTATTACACAGCTTGTTTTATACATGCTATCATCACCACAGTAAAAACACCATTGTGTAATAAATGTACCGGAGTGCTAGTGCTTATTAGCAACCATCAATTCTCCTAGGCTACGATGTACATAATTAAAAATAGGTAGTGAGAATCATGTGACAATGGTTTTGAGTGCGTCCCTTTAAAGGCTATGATCTTGGCTGGACTGAGTGTTGAGCCTCAGTGAGATGACTGACCAGGGCAACAACAACAACCACAACATCTCCTGCAACCCCTTCGCCGCCCTATTCAGCTCGTTGGCTGATGCCAAGCAGTTTGCGTCAGGCCAAAAGTCTGCACCGTTACCCACTGGACCGCCACGTGAGTAATGCAATGCAGAAGTACGCCTTCAAGCTATGAAACTGCTGCTCATGAAGATGAGTAATGAATGTATTTCATTGATTAGATATGATTAGTGACTCAAGCCCATGAGTGCACTCGCAATTTTTATGAGGCACTGCATCTATTAGAACAATGGTTCTCAAACTTATTATACAAAATACCACCTAATAAAAAGAAGCTCCTCAAGTACCACGTAAACACCCATTACAATATAGTACTATATTGTACAAATACAAGGCATAGGTTTCATCCCTATAGGGTGCATTCATTATTATTGTATACCACTGTAACATTATGACACACTAGTGGTCACTATAGGAGGAAATATGGGTTCAGATCAAAAATATTCCTCAGTACTAATCTGGAATGTCGATCTAAATTATGCTTAAATGATGCCTGTCACCGATGTTCCATGACTGTTTGTGTCACATTGTAGAAGATGACTCCGGGGAGAGCCAATCAGAGTCTGAGAACTCTGTGTCGGACAGCATCGACGACAATGACGACTCTGTGGCAGAGATAAGCCGATCCTTCCGATCCCGACAGGAACTGTGCGAGCAACTCAATGTGAATCACATGATCCAGCGTATATTTCTTATCACCTTGGATAACAGTGAGTAAATCAAAACAACTTGTTTTCTCATTAGTGGACTTATTGCACTGTCTCCCAGCCTTTATTTATTCTCGTATAGGGGGCTGTATAAAACCACAAAACTAAGACATGTTTGCCAGATAGTGGTGAAAGTTGATAACTTCAAACTACACTGGCCCCCCACACTGGCTAATTCGCGTTTTTCCCCTCCACTCAAAAATATTATTTGAAAATATTTTTTTTTTCACAATTTTCCCCAAAAATGGAAGGATTGGTAGATTGATATGTTCAATTTATGTCCTATAGATGGCAGTAATGCAGTGTTGCTGCGAACTACAACACCCAGAAAGATTTTTTTTTTTCCTATCGTATTGGTTGCCACTATCGTTCATCAAGCCTTGACTTAGTCATCAGGTGAAGGCACACCAAGAGTGTGCGGGAATTGAAACATGACTCATCACCCTCATGTGATGGGAAGTCTTGCTTTGAGCTTACTGGGTCTCTTTGCACAGACACTCTTTCAGGATGAGTCATTATTCTTAGGAAGTGGACAATAAAATGCCCCAGGCCATCCAATAAACACAGCAGTGAAATCCATTTCCCCAACACAGAAATCAAACCCCAACTTGTGAATTGAATCCTCTTTTTCTTTTGCACACTTTTTAAATTTTTTTTTTTTTTTTTTTTCTCACCTCTAGGGGATCCCAGTCTGAGAGCAGGCAATGGGATCCCCCCTCGCTGTGTTTACCTGGAGGAGATGGCAGCTGATCTGGATGGACAGGATCACACTAGTGGTCACTATAGGAGGAAATATGGGTTCAGATCAAAAATATTCCTCAGTACTAATCTGGAATGTCGATCTAAATTATGCTTAAATGATGCCTGTCACCGATGTTCCATGACTGTTTGTGTCACATTGTAGAAGATGACTCCGGGGAGAGCCAATCAGAGTCTGAGAACTCTGTGTCGGACAGCATCGACGACAATGACGACTCTGTGGCAGAGATAAGCCGATCCTTCCGATCCCGACAGGAACTGTGCGAGCAACTCAATGTGAATCACATGATCCAGCGTATATTTCTTATCACCTTGGATAACAGTGAGTAAATCAAAACAACTTGTTTTCTCATTAGTGGACTTATTGCACTGTCTCCCAGCCTTTATTTATTCTCGTATAGGGGGCTGTATAAAACCACAAAACTAAGACATGTTTGCCAGATAGTGGTGAAAGTTGATAACTTCAAACTACACTGGCCCCCCACACTGGCTAATTCGCGTTTTTCCCCTCCACTCAAAAATATTATTTGAAAATATTTTTTTTTTCACAATTTTCCCCAAAAATGGAAGGATTGGTAGATTGATATGTTCAATTTATGTCCTATAGATGGCAGTAATGCAGTGTTGCTGCGAACTACAACACCCAGAAAGATTTTTTTTTTTCCTATCGTATTGGTTGCCACTATCGTTCATCAAGCCTTGACTTAGTCATCAGGTGAAGGCACACCAAGAGTGTGCGGGAATTGAAACATGACTCATCACCCTCATGTGATGGGAAGTCTTGCTTTGAGCTTACTGGGTCTCTTTGCACAGACACTCTTTCAGGATGAGTCATTATTCTTAGGAAGTGGACAATAAAATGCCCCAGGCCATCCAATAAACACAGCAGTGAAATCCATTTCCCCAACACAGAAATCAAACCCCAACTTGTGAATTGAATCCTCTTTTTCTTTTGCACACTTTTTAAATTTTTTTTTTTTTTTTTTTTATCCTCACCTCTAGGTGATCCCAGTCTGAGAGCAGGCAATGGGATCCCCCCTCGCTGTGTTTACCTGGAGGAGATGGCAGCTGATCTGGATGGACAGGATTGGCTGGACATGGACAACATAGAGCAGGTTGGATAGCCGCACTCATTTTGCTTTTATGGAATATTTCCCTGCAGCCTATTAGATAGGCTTTATTTTGAAGGGAAAAAGAACTTAACACGTTTTGGCATGTACTTGCGCTGTTTCCTTTTCCTAGGCACTTTTTAATCGTCTGCTGCTGCTTGAACCAGGAAACCATCTCATCTACATGACATCATGCAGTGCTGTGAACCTGTCAGCTGACCGTGACGCTGGAGAGAAATGTGCCATTCCATACCTCTTTGCTTGTTATCAAAGGGCAAAGGAAGAGGTATTATAATAATAAGAAGAAGAAGAAGAAAATGATTTTATGTGAGACCAGTCCATGGCGCAAAATATGTGGGCACTTCTGCACGTTGCTGAAAAAATGTCACTTAATAGTTGACAACAAATACCCCTTAGTTGTTCAGCCCCTATTGGAGCGTTAATACATCATTTCATTGTCCTTGTTTTGGGCAAACAAGGACAATCTTCATTATTCAGTAACTATTTTATTTTTGCTTTCATCAGGTGACCAAGGTGCCGGAGAAGTTATTGCCATTTTCCGTTCGTTGTAAGAATCTGACAGTCTCAAACACGCGCACAGTTCTGCTCACCCCAGAAATCTACGTCAACCAAAGTGTGTATGAGCAACTTCTGGACCTGCTGCTGGACGCTTACAGTAGAGCACGTATGTTCTGGATTGAGCCCAGTCAAGTTCCTTGTGTGCTGACTTTGTTACAGCGGAAGCCTAACGTGTCAGTTTGGTCCTTGCAATGTCCCGCTGACATTTCAGAGCCAGAGGAGGTGGTGGAGTTTGTTGAGGAGGTGATTGCTGGCTTGCTCTCTGACCAAGAGGTGCGGACCTTCAAGGAGGTGATAGTTCCAGTGCTTGATATCTTCCAGGGTCGAATCAAAGACATTGATCTGTGTCAGCCCTTCTTCTACTTCTACCTTGATGTACTTCTCTACTTCAGCTATAATAAAGATATTGCCAAGGTCAGAAAACACTCTGGTAGATCTTACTTGTTTACGTTACAAGTGCCCACTGATACTTGATGCTTCCAGGTATTGATGGAGCACATTCAGCCCAAAGATCCGGCAAATGGGTTGCTGTACCAAAAGAGCCTACTCGGAACTGTGTTGAATGTGTCTTGCCTGCTGAAAACACCGGGAGTGGTAGAAGGACATGGCTACTTCCTGAACCCATCCCGTTCCAGCCCTCAGGAGACTAAAGTCCAGGAGGCGAACATCCACCAGGTGAAGATTTCTGATCATCTTACGTTGTCAGTGTCTACCCAATGAAGGCTCAGTGATGACGTTTACACCTTCTTTTGCAGTTTATGGGCCAGTTTCATGATAAGCTGCACCAAATGTTTAAATACTTGCTGCAGCGGTCGAGTGAGACGCGCCACCTGCTGCTGTCATGGTTGGGCAACTGCCTGCACGCAAACGCTGGCCGGGCCAAGATTTGGGCCAATCAAATGCCAGAGCTCTTCTTTCAGATGTATGCCTCAGATGCATTCTTCTTGAATTTGGGCGCAGTGCTTCTGAAGCTGTGCCAGCCCTTCTGCCGGCCACGTTCATCCAAATTGCTCACATTTAATCCCACGTACTGCGCAGTCCGAGACCTAAGTGAAGAGGAGAGGTGCATTCGCAATGTGCATGCGAGAGGTAAATATAGCTTCCTTCTAGTGACCCAGCTATTTAGGTGCTCTTGTTTAAGTTTTATTGGAACACTGTTAATTTGGCATGTCTTTGGAGTGACACTTTCCAGTGAATTAGATCCACAATTGAGTGATCAGCTGTATCCTTCGCCAGGTCTTGACAAGGAAACCTGTCTGACCCCCATGCCCTCCCAGCCCACGCAGGAGCCTGCTGCAGAGTCCTACAGCCTACTGACAGAAAACCTCGTCCTCACCCAGCTCACCCTGCATCTTGGCTTCCACAGGTTTACCTTCACATCCCCCAAATTGTGCTGCTTGGTGGAATATAACTTTAGTATTCAGCAAGGATGACAAAACATGTCAGGTTTTTATAGGTTGCTCGGAAAATGCGATGCAACAACTAACAATTTTAATTGCCGAGCAATCGGTTCCACCTAATCCATTGTGTCCCGAGTATAGCCATATGTGTTGTGTTGTTGCATCCGCAGACTCCATGAACAGCTGGTCAAGATGAACCAGTCTCTGCACAGGCTTCAGGTGACGTGCGAGGAGGCCCATCGCACAGGAAACCCCATGTCGGAGCAGCTCTTGGAGCAATTTGAACGCCTGATGATTGTCTTCTTGTCAACCAAAGCTGCCACCACACAGCCCGCCATGCTGCAATGCTGCCTTAACCTCCAAGCATCCACTGCTGCTCTGCTGGTGCAGTTTGCTTTGGGAAACCACGGCCATGAACATGTAGCACTTAGTTTTCCGCTGCCCACACTGCAAAACACCATGCTTTGCTTTGTACCAGGTAAGGTGATGTAATTAATGTATTAACCCATACACAGGCTTCCTTGAGTGGCATGCTCATGAATCACTGCCAAAGTGAACTTCATTTTATTTCAGTTTAAAGTGCAATACTTTTGCATTTAATGTGATGGTGGTACTTGCAGAGCGGAGTATTTTTTGACATGGTAGCAAAAGTTTCAGAGCACTTGTATTAATCATGTTTTTGTATGTTTTTTCAGAATTTTTTGTGGAGAACTTGGGAGATTTTTTCATCTTCCTTCGGCCATTCGCTGATGATGTTTTGGAGACCTCTGCTGAGAGTCTTGAGCAGATTCTTAACTTTATCACTGTCTTCATGGGTAATGTAGAACGGTACGGTATCGGATTTAGTTGTGTCAGATAAAATATAACCCCATTAATGCTTCAGCAAACATTCCATGTTGCTTTCACAACAGAATGAAGAATCCACATTTAAGAGCAGAGCTAGCAGAGGTCTTAGAGGCGGTGATGCCCCACATACTGCCTCTGGCGCCCGGTACTCCTCAGCCAATCGTCTTCCAGCGACAGAGAGTCTTCTGCTCTTACAAATATGCACCTCAGTTGGCCGAAGCCCTCATCACTGTGTTTGTAGACATTGAATTTACAGGTGAGACACTGCAGCTTGAAGAAAATAATTTAAATGTATTGTATATTATATTGTCGCGGTCAGACGGAAACCCCCCCACGGAAACGTTTAATTAATGGAAATAAATAAAACGAAGCTTAGTTTTTAACCAGGATTTAAAGGCATTTATATGGTACTTGATGTTGACTTCACTTCTATTGGCAAATTATTCTCTTCGTCAGCAGCTCTATGCCGCTTCACCATGTTTGCTTTGAAACCTGCCTTTTCCTCCCTTGTTGTTCTTCAGGCGATCCTCACCAGTTTGAACAGAAGTTCAATTACAGAAGACCCATGTATCCTATCCTCAAGTTCATGTGGGGCGAAAATAACTACAGAGAGAGTATCAAGGTAATTGGAGGGATTTGTTTTTTTGTTTATTCAGGTTTGAAAACAGTCCACCAATCTGGTGATTATGTTCTTATTTCCACCTAGGTAACCATGTATGCAATCAATGAAATAATGTACTTTGTGTTTTCTCAGCATTTGGCAGACTATGCATCCAAGAACCTCGAAGCCATGAATCCTCCTCTGTTCCTTAGGTTCCTCAACTTGCTGATGAATGATGCCATCTTCCTTTTAGATGAGGCTATTCAGGTGAGGCTACAAGACAAAAATCTCTGCAGAGGAATAATGCGCATCCCGTTTCAAGTATTTTTTTCTCTCACAATGCCGAAAAGAATGTTTTTTTTTCTATTTTCAGTTAGCATTTTTTTTTTAAATCTTGCAGTACCTGAGTAAAATCAAGATCCTGCAGCTGGAGCGGGATCGAGGAGAGTGGAATGACCTGGCCCCCGATGCCCGAAGGGAAAGGGAGTCCAGCCTGCAGATGTTTGGACAGCTGGGCCGCTTCCATAACATCATGTCTAATGAGACCATCGGCACACTGGCCTTCCTCACTTCAGGTCAGACCAATTCAATATGTATATTTTAAACCCTCCATCAGTCCTTGCTGTTCTCTTGCAGTAATGTCCCTATTTTTTTCCCCTAGAGATCAAAGGGATCTTTGTGCACCCTTTCTTGGCTGAGAGGATCATCTCCATGCTCAACTACTTTCTGCAGCACTTGGTAGGACCCAAAATGGGTGCTCTTAAAGTGAAGGACTTCACTGAGTTTGACTTCAAGCCCCAGCAGCTTGTCTCTGACATCTGCACCATCTACCTTAACCTGGGGTACGTTGTGAACATTCTCTTGAGTACTGTGAACGGTATTAGGTGTCTTAAGCCCAATCGATGAAGTTATTGTGACTTCATCTTTTGGAGCCATTGTGTTAGCTAGAGGGGAAATACAGTTGCACTTACTTTGGTTGACAAATAAAATTGTATTTGTACATTTCTTTGGCAGAGATGAGGAGAATTTCTGTGCTACCGTTCCAAAGGATGGACGTTCATACTCCCCTACCCTCTTTTGCCAAACGGTGAGGGTACTGAAGAAAATCAACAAGCCCGGGGATATGATTGTGGCTTTTGGACTCCTTGCTGATAAAATAAAGGTATCATTTGACTCTGGAGAAGATGATCAAAATATTTTTTTTTCTTGAGGGGGGGGGTTGTGTATCTCTGCAGCGTCAAATTGTCCTGTTACTCTGCTTGCACTCTAGTCCCATGCAGATCGACAGCAACAGGAGGAGGAGACTTACTCAGAGGCCCCAGAAGAGTTCCTGGATCCTATCATGTCCACACTGATGCTCGATCCTGTTCTTCTTCCTTCTTCCAACGTCACAGTCGACCGCTCAACTATAGCAAGGCATCTCCTCAGGTTAGTTCCCAACTAACATCAGGACTGAAGATGATTTACACACTGCCTGTAATTATGTCACTATTATGTTATTTAGTCTAACTGATTCATATCTCAGCTTTCTCTCCACAAACCAACATATCAGTGTGCCTTTGAAAGCAGACCAAACTGTGCATTTGGTCCACACCTGAGTTGATTGCTGTGTGAGGGTTTTGTCACAGTTTTGATGCCTCCACGCGAACCCCAGCTAAAACAAAACCTACAGAGCACGCTTCTTCGTAAAGCTTATATAAAAAGAGTGTGTCCTCATTCCAGTGACCAGACAGACCCGTTCAACCGCAGTCCTCTCACCATGGACCAGATAAGGCCAAACGAGGAGCTCAGACAACAGATCTTACAATGGCTGGATAAGCATAAGCAGGAGAGGCTGCAGCTGGGACCAAGTGACCAGACTTGATCCGCTCGGTGCCTAACAATGACTGCATCCTTGTTTGCTTCCCTCTTCCACATCTAGAGTGCCCCTCTGCCTTTTTTTTTTTTTTTTTTGGGTGGCTAATCTGTGGTGTACTTGTCGCCGCAGATTCCAGACTCCTGTCTCATACTGCATTTAAATCCTATTTAATACAGCTCAGCCAGCATGCAACAGAGCTGGTTGACTTGCTGTTTTTCTGTGCCAATGGTAAACATTTGCATTATGGGAGTGATACGATCTTGAGCAGGAGAGGAGAATTACAGGACAGTGAAAAAGCATTTGCCCCTTCTTGATTTTGATGTATTTATTTTTTTACATATTTATCTCATTTAAACGTTTCGTATCGTCATCAAGCCAATTTTAACTTCTTTGGCCTGTCGCACACCTAGAGACGCAACTGAACGGGACAGTCGTAAACAAAGTGGTGACCATTTGAAAATGTGAACACTGGCAGAGGAAATGCAGTGTTCCACATTGAGATTTATCCATTTCCTAATCATTTTGAGAAATCATGAACATGAGTGTCATCACATAGTAATTATTCATAATAGCATATAATAATCATTTTATTCAGAGTAATTTTAGCAAAAGTGTCAAACTGGTACTCCCTTGGATTGATCAATACCCAAGAAGTAGTTGTCAAATTCTGAAGTGTAGGTGACACCTGATCTGCTGTATTAGTTTTTACTGAACCAGAAACAACATGGCACAATTGTCAAGCAAGAAGTGGATTTCCCTGGTCAGTGTAGCAGTTGTATAATACTACAAAGAGGAAAACCGGGTGAGAAATAAAGGAGTGTGGATAGTTTAGAGTGTGTTGGCAATGATTGCCACATTTTGCTGACAGAGACTCTCCACGCTGCACTTTTTTAACCACAGGTATTTTTTTCAAACATATATATATATATTGGATATATACATAGATGCATACTGGATATACTCTATTAATATGGCTTGGCAGCCCTCAACTGGATCTCGCGTCTGACTCGGAAACATAATTTTTGTTGTGAAAGCTCATGTGATATGACGTGGTGATTTCAATTGCCTGTTAGGTCTCCGATGTTGCGACACTGTTCATTTGCAAGTCAAATTTTGAGTTGACGGTTGACCGCTCCTGAAAATTACTAAAAGAATCCTGCATACTGCACGATAGTTAAGTCACGTTGGGCTGCGTCACTTGTGCGGCGGCTTTTACAAAGATAAAGTGAATACCAAATGCAGTTTGTAAATGATGAGGGTGATGAATCTAATTGAGATGCTGTGGTATGAACTTAATTAAAAACAGGCACTTCAAGCTTGAAAACTGGTGAAACAACTGTTGATATTACATACCGGTAAAATATTTTTTTCATACAAGAAGAATGGCCCTCTGAGAAACTGAAATGGTTCCCTAAAAGAAAAAGGATTCCTCACCCCTGAATTGAGTTTTGTGTTCGTTTGACATTCACATCACGAGTGTGGCCACTGATCATGTTCAAACCAGTTGTTGAATAGTCTTAACACATTTCCCATCTGAACAAAATTTTACACAGCAACACAAGCATTTTGCGACGCTAACATGACAGAATGACAACATTTATTACTTGGGCTCCAACTACAATGACTGAAGTAATATGCAGCACTTTTGGTTCAAGCTGCATGCTAGATGTAGATATAAACAGAACTTAAACTTTAAGGCAAATCTATTAAAACCTGTGAGGTATTTATTTACAGCCCTCGTTGTATTTGTTGTGTAAGTTACAATGACAGCGCCATAAGCACACGCCAGCATTTAAAGTTCCGACATGAAATAAAGAATGTGTTCGTCTGTCAGACACTCATTCAGGAAGTCTCGCTGGAAAATCCACTATGCATAGCACAATTACTGTTTTAAATGTGAATAACACAGGTCTATAAAAAACAAAAAAAAAAACAAATGACCAATTATACAAATGTGATTTTCTCTTTCAGAGGGGCTGAATACATGGGGCTGTCATTGATTCTGTTTACCCAATGCAACAAAGATTGGGGACAGGGGGTCATTATTAATGTTTTATAATGTTCAAGAGATGGCAAAGTTCCCAGGGAAGCATTGACTTTCAATTTAACATAATCAGTGTTGGGATAATACATTCAATATATTCCAAAACTATGGGGTGCTAGATGTTTTTTGTCCTTTTTTTTCCTTTCTATCTTTTGTAACAAGTGTTTATCATGACACCAGATCTCACCTCAATTGCCCTTTAAATCATTAACAGCTAAGTGATCGCAGAGAGTGTTTTTGCAAGGTTTTGATATTGTTTGCATTAACATGAAGCAACCGAATTACACTTTTGGGACATTTTATTTCTTGTTAGATAGAGAGCTGCAGAAAATGTGCAAGGTGGGGGTCAATTCAATGAACGCAGGATTATCCTTTAAGAGATTTTAATAAATAAAAGTTATCAAATGTGGCTGTGATGAAGAAAAAAATGTGAAGGAAGTATGTGATGATTTGGCATGCCTGTGCTTTATGTTAAAGATCTTAGGTGAAAATATAATCCTATATTTTTGTTTTATTGTAAAATTTTACTTTGAGTATACAGTATGATTAAAAAAAATGGTCTTCTTTTTTGTGGCTACATGCTCGTTTTTATGTAATTTACCAGTGCATAAGATGAGGTGGCCATATTTTGCTCATTAATGACTGCCTACATAAAAATAAAATACAATCGCAGACTCATTAAGCAATACAATACAATTGTATTTTGGCAGCTTAATTTACTTTTTGGTGTTGACCCAGCGAAATCTGGAATATTTCAAAATAAACATACCAAATCAGCTTTGTTTTGAGTGCACGTGGAATGGTGATCGACTGGTTAGCACATCCGCCTCATAATGCAGATGTGCAGGCCTCAATGTGTGAAGTCTGCGTGTTCTTTCCATGCCTGTGCGGGTTTTCTCCGGGTATTCCAATTTCCTCCCACATTCCACAAACAGGCATGACAGGCTAGTGGAACACTCTAAATTGTCTCCAGGTGTGTTTGTGAGCGTGAATGGTTGTTTGTCTGTGTGCCCTGCGATTGGTTGGCAACCAGTTTAGGGTGTGCCCTGCCTACTCTTCGAACACAGCTGGCATAGGCTCCAGCACGCCCACGACCTTCATGGAGATAACCGGATTAGAAAATGGATAGATGGAGAGATGGATGGATGTTTTGAGTGCATAGATGTTATCTCCTCCTATGAACACCATTGTATTTAGCATAATGGAACAACAGAAACTTACTGTAATGTTTTAAATGTTTAACAATCAAGGTCCAATTTAGAAAATAAAAAAAAAACAGTTTGGTTTTGCCTTTCATGCCCTTTTTGGGCGTGATTGTGTGCCTTGTAATTTTGAAAACATTTTTGTTTCACCACAAACATTTTAAGTAGTAGTAATAATTGTACTAATATTAATGTAAACGCATTTCTTAAGGTGACAAAAGCTAAGGAATGTTGGAGATCAGAAATTAAAATACACCATCATGCATTTTTTCGGAATGCGGGAGGAAACCAGAGTCTGATCTTGTGTTTGAACCCGTAACCTCTGAACAGTGAAGCATAGGCGCAAACCAGTCATGCGCCATGCCACAAAATACCGAACAAATACATTGATGGGGCTTGAGCATCCCCCAAAATAGGATAGAAATGCCTATGGCACCAGGTGTTATAGCCGATACTACCTCCAATTTTACTCAGTATCGGATTAGGAAGTAAAAAATATCGAACATTACTACCACAAATGTGGCACCGCTTTAAGGCTTTCTAATTGCAAACATTACAAAGAGGCATTGCAACAACACAGGTCCTATATTTGTAGACGTTTTCACTGATGTACGGACGTGATTAATGTTAGTGCAACAGTAGATTCGTGGTATAGTAATCTAGTTAAAACAAGTGGTGTGGTTATGTCAGGTACCTCTCCTAACGGTCTGGTTGCTGCTGCTTTTTGTCATTCAAGTACGTCGCTGGTTTCCCGGGCAAAGCCCCTGAATCTGATTACGATTCGGTGGCGCTGAGCTCCAATCTTGCTCTCTGAGCAAATGCATTGTCGGGGCCGTGTCGGGTCCGCCCCGCAACCTGCATAACGACGCTTCGGCCAGTGAGAGTGGAGGCCGAGGCGAAGCTTGTTTATGTGGAGTGCTGGCTCAGGGTTCCGCCCACCGACGTATCTGTGATCGCAGGGCACACGGGCACAGAGTGTAAAATGGCGCACAGCTGTCGGTGGCGCTTCCCCGCTCGGCCCGGAGGGAGCAGCAACTCCGGCACCGGGAGGAAAGCGGGCCGGATAAGGGTCACTGCCTCGCTGCGGAACGTCCCAGGAGCCCACCCGCACGCCGCTGGCCTCGGACCCGGGTTTGATGCTGCACTACAGGTCTCTTCGGTCATCGGGATCAACCTGCAGACATTTCGGGATGTTTTGGGGGAATCGAGTGATTCGAGCAGCGCGGAGGTAAGCACCAGACGGACGGGGAGAGAACGAGAGAGTAACCCGGTCGGGGGTCTCCGGTACTAAGAGAGGCGTTCACTGTTTTGCAGCTAACAGTCCAAACATGCACAATCTCTCGGTTTTCGAACTGAGCAAAACTTGCCATCGTCAGGATGCTCCGTTAACTTTGCTGCACTTTAACGAACAAACTTTAGTCAGGAACCCACACGGCACCGAACCGAGACGTGTGCTTGAGTCAGGTTCTGCTGGGAACAAACTTAGTTTGTGGTAGAAGTGAGAAGAGATGCTACATCCGTACACTCTTTAGGCTGGACGATTACGAGCACGCTAACACAAAACGCCCACCCTCCCCCCATCTTCAAGATGTGTTTATAGTATTTTAATCAACCAAAGACACATTGTCAGTGTTATTGACTCATTATTCACCCATTGTAACACACATGCATCATGTAGAGATGCTACTACAACTGCTTTACTAGTGAGCTACTTAAAATTAGCTTGATTGGACGCCTTCAAGACTTGGACGTCTCGTATAATAACAGTAAAAGTTGTTTGTCTCTCTTGGTGGGAAAAAGCCGAGAAACGTGAATGTTATAACAACGTGAGAGTCGAGGACTTTTCAAAGTAGTGTGCGATGTGTTTGCAAACAAAACAACTTGAAGTAGGTGAGAATAGACAAATCTGATCCGGACTCGAAGTTAGCTTCCCCCCCACTGCAGTATTTCGTTTCATTGAATTATTTCGCACCACCGATGGATGTATTTGTAACGAATACATCGGGTTAATGTACAGGCTGGTGCTTTTCCTTGACATCTTGCTGCGAGGATTCGGCTAACCTAGCTGGTGGGTTAACTTGTAGCTAGCTGCCCGTAGTACACTTTTAATTCCGCCCCGCGAGTGTTTCCACGTTGTGGAAATTGCACTCGTGTGTATGTCTGTTTGACACCACTCCAACGGGTCGGACATCGCTGTGCAGAACTTACAAATGCAGCCATTTATACTGCTGTTTGTTGCTAGGCTAGCGAAATTAGCATACTACGCCACGCTAGCCGTCATGCTACTGCTGATGCGTTGGAAAATGGGAGGTGAAGTGAACCCATTCTTTTCGTAGCCAGTGCGTAGCTCGCTAGTAGCGACACGATGAGCGGCTTGTCAACGCCTCACGGTCACGTTAAGTGAGGAGACATATGCACCCCACTAATCGCATTTCCTTGTTTGTTTGTTTTTAAATATCGCACAGATAAGATTATATATGCGATTTGAGGGGGTTCCATTTGGCTCCTTCGAGTGACAGTGCGCATGCAGGGCCGGCTACCACAACAACGAGCACCCCGCTCGACGGGCCGTGTGATGTGGGGGTGTGTTCGCCTCAGCGAACTACCATCTTCCTTTTCTGCCAGCAGCAGTAGCGGCGGTGCTACCGTTGCAGTGGGAACAAATAGGGAGTCGCTGCAATTGCATTTAAGTAATTTGGGATTTCGGCACAGGTGATATAGTGATACATGCTGCTCTTTTTCATGCATACTGTGACAGTTCGATTCCTGGTTAAAACGGGAAGTCCGAGGTGGGTGAAGTAGCCAGTAATTGCACTAACTTGAAAGAGTACTCTGATTTAAGAGCAAGGGTCTCAACTCGTTGCCTGGGCCCCGGAGGGGCCATTTGCAGCCTGCAGATGATATTATGTGGCCACCTACTTGACATCAAAGTTTAATGTTAGTGTGGCCTCAATGCTTGCCGATTATGGAAATCATGATAATTCCGAGCGTTTTAACTGACATTGAAATCATGAATGATGAAAATGATTATTCATTCACTTGAGAACTTTGTATTTATTCAGCTCCTAACATTCAACCACCCATTAATATCATAATAGCCTCATGTTTACTAATCCCTGCTTGTTGGACACATTATTCTTGAACTCTCTATTCTTTTTGTCAAGTACAAAATAACTTGTAAATATCATGTGAAATTCAAGCTTTGTGCATTTTCATTCTGCTACTTCCACATATTTGATGCCTTGCATCTTTACACACATTCAAACTGTGAAAAAGCATCTCCCTTATCTCTTTATCATATGAATTTTTATCATATGTTGTTCTATTTTTATTTGTACGAGTCTTGGCATTTGTGTGTGAATATTCTTTATTTGAGGGAATATCACTCCAAAGTCGATGCTAATATCCAGTTAGCATGTCAATATGATTTAACATTGACTTTAGCATCAACACTGGCGATGTTGTTAAAATGAAGCCTCCATCCATTCATCTATCCATCATTATCTGAGCCGCTTATCCTCACAAGGGGTGTGCTGGAGCCTATCCCAGCTGTCTACAGGCAGTAGGCGGGGAACACCCTGAACTGGTTGCCAGCCAATCGCCACACATAGATGAATAACCATTCACACTCACACACAGGGACAGTTTTGAGTGTTCCATTAACTTGCCACGCATGTGGTCACATCAGGTCATTCTTAGATGTGTCAAACGTCCGCAGTGTAGCACTAACTACTGGCAAGGAAGATTTATTCAATTTCAGATTTTTTTTTTGCCTTTAGAATCAATGGCGGTTATCTGTATCCTTCATGCGTATCTGCTACCCTGAAGTAAGTCTGTTGTAGGCCGGATACCTATACCCGGTATAAAATGAATCATAATTAATATGTGCATTATTTTTGAGTGCACAAATGCATTTGTTGTATGTTCTGTGATGGTTTTGGTCTTACATATTAAACCTGATTGGTAAATTTTTTGTAAATTTACCATTGTTACATTTCTGAACATTTAAAGTTTTTTTTACAGTGTATGTAAGGATTGTATTTAAATGGCCATCTTCTCTAAAAACAACAACAAAAAAAAGTATGTTTATGTTCTCATTGTCAAGAACAAAACATTTCTGTGGAAGTTGAGTCAGTTAATGCTGTTAAATAAACTGTATAAAAGCTGGTGGTTGGTTTCAGGATAATTAAAGCAAATCCCAGAATGTGTTTTAGTTTTCGAGAGTGCTGCATTCTTTCCCCCCCAGAGAAACATGTTTCTTTTGGTAGGTCTTGTTTTGTGCTTCAATGTATTCTTTAGCGTCTTGAGTGCATTGGAGTATTACAGATGCAGAGAGGCAGACTGGGCCATTCATTCTCATAGAGTTTGGTGAAGCCTCGTGAAGTTGAGGGCCCAGCTTGGTGCACCCCTGAATACTTTCTATAAATAAATGCTTGATCATAGTTAGAAGAAAGATTTGAGGTAGAGTACAGTGGTA